ATTTGGAATGACAGCAAGCATTTCAACACACCTGAATGATAGCAGGTTATGTCAATGACCTAAACGGAGATAAGGAAAGATTTTGGGAGGTCTTGGCAGGGAGAAAGAGGTCAGTTTTGAACAGATGAAGCTGGAGGTGATAGGTAGAATGACAGTTGTCGTTGTTTCATGCTGCTTAACCATAGATGAGTTTCGATTCCATTGGCAGGGTAGTGTAATTGATGATGAAAAAACATGAATATCTTTCATTCAGTTGGCTGTTGTGTTTACTTGTGTGTGTCTGATTATTTCATCGATCAATAAAAGCAATATTTTACAGTCAACTATATGTCACTATACATCCAGCTGAAAAGTAATCCCACAAAAATATTCTTGTTCTTTGTTTTTATTTGGTTTCAGGTGCCCTGGAATTTGAACAAATTAGGAAAAGAAGAGATCAGAGATTGTGCTATTACAACAGTCACCTAAATCAAGAGGGAGCTCAGCAATGACATCTTGGAGCATTTCTAAAGACATTCCCATTGGTTGCTAGGTAATGGCAGACATCATTATCTCTTCAAACAGGAAAGGAATTAATCAAAGCCCATTCTTGAGAACTCAATCACTATACAAGTTAATGATGCAATACAGGAAGGAGCATGCAGTATGTTGAAGAATCTTGACATTTTTGTTTTGTGATCTGGTAAAGACCTACAAGCCAATTAGACAAATGCTGCAAAATCTGTATAGCAATGTGATAAATGTGAATCACAAGCTTCATTGTGCTGACAGATCAATTGGGAGACTGCAGCCTGTATATTAAGCCGTTACAAAACAATTTAACAACCATGGTCCATTTATATACCATTGTGCATTCATTGCCTGGTCCCTTCGTTTATAGTGGCTCTGTAATTGTCCATTCACTAGACACCAATCTCTGTCTTTAATCTTTCTGGTTGGAGACATCACAGTCTCAAAGTGTTTAAAGCTTTTGGGTTTTTAGGTTCAAATAACTCAAAAGGAAGTACATGTTAAAGCATTGTTTTTCCTCATTGGTTCTATTCTAGCCCTCAAACTCTATTTCTCAACTTTTTTTCTCTCTTTTTTATAACAGTGGGTCATAATCCAAACAGATGGGGGATTCACTAATTTACGTGTGCTATTTAGCTGTTTGAAACCTTTGTAAAAGTGCACTTTTTTATTTGCACATTAACATAGGAGCAATTTACCCAAATTGAAGTGTAGAATATAAAGGCAAATAAACATCATAAATCCCAAATCATATCTTTGCCAACCTGCTGCATGTGACCCACTGTTTTTTAGGTTCCTAACAAACACTTTCACATTCTCCTTCATCTGCTACAGAGAAATGAAAAATAAAAACAGGCATTTATGAAAATTAACAGAAAAAAAGCAATAGCAATAATTAAAATATCAATAATAATAATAACATTACTAAAATTAACATCAAAATGCCATCTTTCCAAACCAAGGTAGGTACCATGACAACTTTGTGAAAGAGAATAGAAAAAAAGTTCTACAAAAAGAACCAAATATTGTTTAAAATATGAGTAATCTTATGTTTACCACTATACAAATCACGCTATGCAGCTACAAATCTAAAATCCTCCCTTTTTTCTTTCTCGCAACATTTCAGTTCTTTCAAATGAACACAAGGATGGGAGTTTTAGTCTATGGAGGGGCTGTTTGAACAGCAGTGATTGTGAGTAAACGTTTTTAACACTCATTATGTTCAAAAGGTCAACCTGGAGTGGAGTAGAATGTCTTCAGGAAAGCAGGTTTCTTTGCTTGTAAATCTTAAAGGATGATATTCTTGGCTAGATCATCATAGCAAGAGGCCATTTTGCTTTCTTGATAAATATCACTAAAAACAAATCAAGTTCTTTGGTTCCATTCATATGTTACTGTATACACATAGCTCCCTTGACTTTTTTTGAAAGGGTATCTTTGACCTCTACTGACTCCAGGTTTGACCTACTGTTAGCCAATCACAAAACACACATTTATGCATGAACTGATACATACATATACCGTACACTCATGCATGCTCATGTGCTTTGCTAATGAAGTGTTACAAAAGATAAAGCGTATGAATGTTAAATATGAAAGAGGTATTTGGTATTATTATTATTCTACTATTTGGCAAGTTCTCTAACTCTATTATTATAAAGAGGACACAAATGTTCCTTCTCTTGTATCAACATATAAAATCTCCTTGAAAATATATCCCATTTTCATTTGGTTATTATTTAAATGTTAAAAGGTTTTCAAAGAAAAATCTGGCAAGTCAATGTCAAAAGAGGGAAGATAGAAAATGTCTGACTATTAAAGCATATTATTGTTGCAGATATATGTGTGAATAGGTTTGTTATTAAATCCATTTTATTGCAGCTCCCCCTTTTAACATGATCTGCAAAAACGTCAACACAATGGCTTCAGTTCATCTAAAGAGCAAATGGATATAAAGACAAATGAAAACCTTAATTTTTTTTTTACATCTTTGGATATCATAAAGCTTGGTTTTCATATCAAACACATTTTTGGATAACCTGCTGCCATGCCTGTTTGTTTGGGAAAGAGAGAATGCAGCAGTTTCTCAGTAAACCCAAAATCAACCATCATCTCGCAGCTCCTTCAAGTTCCCATGGCAACCGATTTGGCATCTGGAGAAAAGACCAGTTGGTTTGGCTGGAAAAAAATCTCTTTGGATAAACATCGTCTCGATGCCATCACGAAAGCAAAATATCCTAAGCTTTTGGTTTCACGGGTTTTTGTGGTATCCACATGGAAAGGCCCAAAAATATCCCAATACAATTCACAAGGGTCCATACATTCCATGCGGAATTTTCATATCACATTCTCCGAACAAAATGAATCCCCTTCTGTACCTGCTTTTTCATCTTTTTCTTTGGAGTTTAGCAGGATCAAAAAGGAATCCTTGGATCGGCTTGGCAGGATCCTAATTGTGGATGGATGGACTTGAAGTATTCCACAGCTTAAATGGTTCTGTAAAACATCTCTGGCCGATGAGTTAGGGAGGGGTTCCCAGACAGCTTTTGTCTGCTAAGGCAATATTTGGAGCCAGAGGATGGGCAGCCACGGTCACACTCTCCATGGCAGTCGACCAGATGGGCACCTGAATGCAGGTTCTGGAGGCAGCTGGCACAGGCACTGGCAGGGGGAAGAGTAGCGGGTATATGCTATTTTTTAGCTGAGGTAGGCAAGCTTTATTAGCAGGGGGCTAATGTCAGCCCAACATAACATTCTGAGGTAGCTATCTTTGGAGGCATACAGCTTTTGGTGGGTATTATAAAGAATAGGAAAGAGGGAAAGGTGGTAAGAATCCATCAACTTTATGGTTCCTCTGGGGTATAGCCTGCCTCGAGGCATGTACGGTGAAACATATAACAATCAATTTATTTGAACTCACACAACCACAAGCGAAGGCAAAAGCAAGGCCACGTTATTTATCTTGGTATATCCGTGCTAAGGCTAACAAATGAAACAAACCTCTGTTCCCTGAAATAATTTCCACTGAGAATAGGGCTAGTTGTAGCTTGTTTTGTAAATCATGTAGTTCACTAAATCGTATATAAGAGTTTGACTGAAGAGAAATATTGAGATTATTTCAATGGTTGGTCTTTATATTATTTGGCATCAGTTCGGACACAACGTAAGGCAACATTTTATTACCAGAGGATGCATTGCAAAATGAAGTTTTGGTTTTAGCAGAAAGCCCTTTGGTAATAAAATATAAAGCGGTTTTGGTATAATTTTTGTTGTGTTTTGCTTCCATTGTGTATTTATGCTCAGAAAGAGTGCAGTAACTATTTGTAACTTAGCATGTTAGCATAAAAAATGTCTACAGTATCTCCTAAGGCTATCATTTGGTGTTCTTGTGCGGACACATCCACATAAAGATCTTAAAGGAGTCAAGCTTTGGTTCTAAAGGGAGGGAGCATAAGCAACAAATGGGAAAGACTAACTTAAACCAGCTCAGTTACCCTCAATTAGCAAAATGTTTGTAGTTAAAACAGGCCCATTTACACATTTAAACAATAGCAGCAGTTTAAGTGACAGACAGGGTATATATGATAAATATGAACTAAAGGGAACTTTGGTGGGCAGGCTAGGTAGAGGAACCACAAGGAGGTAGATCACAGAGGCAGTGCTAGCTAAGTGCTAGCCAGTGCCTGTGCCTGTGCCTGGCAGACTGGATGAGTGCTGCTCAATAAGAACCTGGCATTGGGCCTGGTGAGCTATGTTATGACCCTGAAAAAGAGAAAACAACTGTAAGTATGATAAGCTACCTTTATATGAAACCCTGACAAACAGAGCACAAGTTCAGTTCCAACTGTTGATAAACTCTGTTAGCAGACAAAAAAAAAAAGACTCTGAGAAAAGTGACTATTGAGTAAAACAACAATCCTGCAGAGCAAATTCATAAGCTGTAACTACAGTGACACAACTGGGGTAGGATATTCAACTGATATACAGATGAAATGACAAAATCAATAGTAGTATATCCATTCACTAACTGCATGAGATGAGATTTTGCGGCATCTATGGTCAAGAGAAAAATGAAGGGGGGCTATATTTGCTAAAGATAGCTTCTTCTCAGTTATAATGTGCTGAGAAACTTGACTGTAAATCTTACTTGTGGAACCAGTTCAATGCCTTGAGCTTTTGGGATGCCATTGCTCTGAGCATGGTGCCCTCCATCTTCACCCTGTGGTACAGACCAGCTGTCCTGAGTCCCCTTCCTACAGAAGAAACTGAGACCAAATTTAATGTATTTATTATACTTATACTATTATATAAGTAGATATATATACATAAACAATATACATTATATATAATGTATTTACTATTATTATTATTATTATAATATTGTATATTTATAATGTGTTATATTTCATGTTTGTGAAGTGAATCAATATAAAAAATATTTGTACAATTTGCACATATAGTTTCATGATGTTATCTAACCAAAAGGTCCATTACCTGCGCCGATATCCGAACATGAGGAAGAGCACACAGAAAATGATGCAGGCCATGCCAATGTGGATGCCAACCACAATGCTGCTCACCGAGCTCTCTACACCCCTGCAGGTACATTCAGTCTCCTCTCCTGCAACAAGGAACATGATTATTATACTGTGCACTTATTTCATAAATAATCAACGTAATTATGCATGCCAAAACCAATGCTAATTTACCTGATCTGGTTTTAGCACTAGTCCCGTCCTCAGCCAGTGACACAAGTTTCTTTGAACAGTCGCTCTCTCCATTGCCATTGTAGGCCACCAGTTTGACTTCATACACAGCACCAGGGTCTTAGGAAAAAAAAAAGAAAACTGCAAGTATCACACACACTGCTAATAAATCAAAGCTACTCATGCATTTGTCTCACACATACAAAATCTAATACATATACATTGAGCTTGGTTTGTTGACTTTGCAGTCACAGTAGAACTATTGATCAGCTGAGTCATGGTGATTGAGGTCCGGTGTAGAACCTCCTGGCTATTATGGTCCTTCTTTTCCTTGGGCAATTTTCTTTTTATGTGATGCAGGATCTGTTTTCGTCAATATCTCAATTTTCACACTCTCTTCAGAGTTTTCTGAATTCAAACATTTGTCACATAACAATACTAGGAAATACTTAGAGGAGCGTTTGTTCTCTAATGCTCATGATACACTTCAGGTCTACTCTTCAGGTGGGTGAGTGAAGGAACATTTCAATTGTCACTGTACAAACATAATGGCTGTTTCAGAGCTGCTGTAACAGGTCATGTAGACAGAATAGTGAAGTGAGAGAGTATTCAGCATAAAACATTAAAATAAGCAGGGCTAGATGGAATCTAATGGCTTTTTTTGTGCTGGCATGTTTTTTGCTAAATCCAATATTAGAGTAATTTTATATGCAGGGAAAAAAAACCTGAAGAGAAACATTTTCAGATTGGTTTGTATTGCACTTTTCACACTAAATATCTTTGCAAAGCAGATTTAAGATTAACTTTGACACATTTAAAACATATTTTGTTATAAATACAATTTTCTGTGCCCATTATGAAAAACCAATTGGCTTCTGCAAATATGTGTTGCATCTATAGTCTATTGTTTCATCAATAGTTTCATATAGTTCACACAAACAAAAAAAAAACATTTTCCCTCACCGAGATGAGAAATGGTGTGAGCGTTAACATGACATGGCAACTGAATCGGTCCCTGGATCTCTCCGTGGGGGACCCTGCGGTACAACAGTCGGAAACCCTCAGTTTTTCCAGGCTTATTGGGCAGCTCCCACAGGACCTGGACTGCAGTGGTGTTTATTGCTTTGGTGAAAAATGTAGGTGGACTGGGCACTAGATAGGGTACAAAGACAGAAAACCCATTATAATGAGCTCAGAGGAACAGGGAACACTGTCGGAGTTCATTCTGTTCAAGCAATAAACATAAGGTGGATGAGCAAAAGAGAAACCATAGAAAGAATGAAACAAGTGCTCAAACATCTGTGACAAAGCAGGTTCGATCAGAAGGATGATATTAAACAGAGGGAGCCAAAAATATTAATGTGAGCCCGAGAAGAGACAGTTAGGGAGAGGGGGAGAGTTTGAAATTGTAGTGACCTAAGCAAAACATAAAAGCAATTAGCATGTGATGTGTAATCTGTATGCAGGTACATACCGCCCCCTAGTGTTGTGGAAATAACAGTACTGGAGCGTTCACTAGCACCCAGTGGAGAGTAAGCCTTCAGGTAGATGGAGTAGGTGGTCGCAGGTTCAAGGTTAGTGAGGTCATGCTGAAATGTTGTCTTACTCACGGCCTCCTGTAGTTCTTTGCTTTCAGGCTCTGAAAACAAAAGTGCACCAAGTATGAAGTATTACTCCAAAAATATTTGTAGAGAGCAAAATATGTTCCAGTTTAGTGGAACATCTGAACTCCAGAGACACTCACCGCCATATCTGCGGATATGCAGAACGTATCCGATGATCCCGTCTGTGATTTCGGCTGGTGGCTGGGTCCAGGAGAGCTGCAGGGTGGTTTTAGACAGAGCCGTGGCTTTCAGGCCCTGAGGGGCATCGGGCAGCTCTTTGGCCAGGGACACAGCCAGACGAGCACTGGCCTGGTTAGTGCCAGCAGAGTTTTCAGCGATGCACTGGTATATGGCCTCATCCTCTGATGTGATGCGAGTTACGGCCAGGGTGCTAAAAACATTAATTATATTATTATTTTAAATCTATACTCTGAATTTAATGTAACCTTGTTAACATTCACATCTCACAATTTGGATGACATAATATAAAACAGGTGAACACTGACATCTAGTGGACAGAAGTTGGTAAAGCCTCCAGAGAAATTATGCCAGGTAAACAAAACCGCAAAATATTGTACACATATACATAAAA